GAGATTCAGAATAGACTTCAGGATGAGAGAAGGAAAAAATATGGTGAAGTAAAGACCTAAACCAAAAAACTCCAACATTTACAGGTTAATATATGAAATGATAATACCTACATTAATGATATGAACATAAGAAATAAAAAATAAACATTTTTAATAATTAATATATTTTAAAATTATTTTCTTTGTATTAAATTAAAGGAGACAACCATTATGCTACCAATTTTGTCACAAACTCACTCTAAAACTGTAAAACAGCCTTCCATTTAGAGCAGTTTTCCTACCCATAAAATAGGGAATGGAGTTACAAAAACATCTGATATATTAATTATAAAGCCCGTAAGATATTAACAGCTGACATTTCTATAGTATGGGAGTAGTATTTATCTTCATCTGCTTCATATAAATCAAAATTGCTTCAAAGAATCTAAAAATGAAGTGGGTAAGACTTTTATCTAGATATCCTCTATTTTTAGACAATCACATTCTCTTCTCAGAACCTTTGAGAAAAGAAAAATCCACTTCTTTTTTTTGGTGGCTGGCTGGTATGGGGATCCGAACCTTCGACCTTGGTGTTACAACCCCATGCTCTAACTGACCAGCCCCTAGAAAAAGCCACGTTTTATCTAAGAAAAATTGACCTATTGAGACATACATATAAAAAAATTAATTCCCTTAAGCAGAAACACACATTTTGTTACTAAAAGTTCTTCTGGAATAATGATTTAAGCCCTAAGTACAGTACAACAGATAAAAGATTGCAGTATAGCAAGATCTGGCTATTTTCTTAGGTCTGTCAAGAGTGTTACCACACTCCACTGCCCCTCTTACAAAAAAGTTATGCCAAGACAGGCTTTGTCTACATGTGTCTTTTATAACTACCTCACTCCATAAATTTCCCTGTGGAGAGCTTAATCTAATTTACAGTAGAGAACCTAACCTTTATTTTAATGCAAATTGAATAAGTGAAACTATGCTACCTAACATGTAGGAAGCAATAACATTCTTAGAAAATTTTATCAGTCTTATTAGGATGCTATCATTCCCTAAAGACATAAAATGACCTCTTTATAATAAATTTATATCTTAAAAGTTATACCTTCCACAAATACTGTAATTTTTCCCAAAGCTCCTCTTTTCCATTGAGCTTATTCTCAGACTTCACATTTATGTAGTTTAAATATATCTTGTTCAACTCAGAAACATCAATTTTACCTTAATATAAAAGAGAAATGACAAATGTTTTAAAATAACATTTTAAAACTTCACTTCAAAGTCTTTGTATTTTCATTAGTTACATACATTTTTCATTGTAAAGCTTAGAAATCCTAAGGAATAGAGTTTGTCACAGAGAATCAATTCCAAAGTACAATAGTCTAATGCTACCAAGAATGTAGTGAATAACAGATAAGAAAAAAGGAGAAGCTAATGCTTAATTTAAATAACTAAAGAAATGGTACTGTAAACTGAGCAATTACTACATTAGAAGTATGTAATAATGAAGATGAAATTGAGAAGGCAATATAATATGGTGACTAAGAATATATATTTTGAAATCAAACAGTCCTACATAGAATTTCAACTCTACCACTGTGATAGCTAATTTTATGTGTCAACTTGAGTGGGCCAAGGGGTGCCCAGAATAAACATCGTTTCTAGGTTTGTCTGTGAGGGTGCTCCCAGATGAGATTAGCATATGAATCAGTGGACTCAGTAGACTGCCCTCCCCAAAGTGGTTGGGCATTATACAATCTATTGAGGCCTGAACACAACAAAAGGAAGAAGGAGTTCACCCCTTTTTTACTGCCTCACTGCTTGAGCTGGAACACCTCATCTTAACTTTTCCTGCCCTTGGACTGGGATTTACATCATCAGCTCCCCTGGTTCTGACTGAATTACACCACAGACTTTCCTGGGTCTCCAGCTGGCAGACAGATCATGAGACTTCTCAGCCTCCAAAATCACATGAGCCAATTCCTCATAACAAATGTCCTTTTTATTTATTTATCTATATATTGGTTCTGTTTCTCTGGAACACCCTAACTAATATAACCACTAACCAGCAAAGTGATTTTGGGAAAATTACTTAATCTCTTTAAGCCTTATTGTTCTCATCTACAAATGGGAATACCACCTAACCACAGATTTTCTGAAGATAAAATGAATTAATTACACAAAGC